GAGGAGGAAACATAAAGCTTATTGCTAAATGCCCTTTATATATTCAAGTAAAAGCTAAAGGAAAAAGCTGGGTATGTGATGAGGTGCTCGAAAGAGATTTAGACTTCAAGCATACATACACGAACATCTCCAGAGAAGGATATTTAAAGTCTTGGGCACAGAAGTAATACACTTAGTTAGGACAGAGCACACAATGAACAAAAAATATTAATCCCTACCTGAGGAAACAAGATCAGAAGAGGGAGAACTAGTGAAGAACAGGGTAAAAGCAGTGAACCAGAGACTGAGGAGGAAAAGAGCTATGACGTGTAAGGAAGTATGCTCCAATTAGAAATTAACAGTGGGGCTGGAGTGATAGCACAGCTGGTCCCCTGAGCACTGCCAGGAGTAATTCCTGAATGCAGAGCCAAGAGTAACCCCTGTTACCCAAAAAGTAAAAAAAAAAATAATAATAATAACAAAGAACACTGAAATAAGAATCTAACAATGGTTAGGTTTTAGGTCAGCCAACAAAGGTTCCTTTTAACTCATAATTCAGATATATTAGAGCACTAAACTATTTTACCTTAAAGCAGTGGGGTATATAGTTAAAAATGTGGACTTCTGGCCACATATAAATCCCAGTTCCGCTACTTACTACCCATGTGGCTACTGTATAGTACTCTTCAAAAAAGCAGATAGGAATTTAGTCCTATACTAAGTCCCTCTGGGTTGGGGGAGTTTCCTTCTTTTACCCTTCTACTTTCCAATCAACCTATTCCAAAAAGAAAAAAAGAATGAAAAAAAAATACAACAATAACTACTACATCAAAGGATTGTAGTGAGAATTTTTATAAATGGCTGTATTGGAGCCAGAGTGTGGCAGATTTGGATTGGGATTGGAGCCAGAGTGTGGCAGATTTGGCAGATTTGGATTCGCTAAAAGGGCTAGGTGCATGCTTAGGTTTAATTTATGGCACTGTACTGTCCCTTAAACACTGCTGGGAGCAATACCCAAGCGACAAGCTGAAATTAGTCCTTGAGTGTGTAACTCAAACTAAAAGAAAAAAAGGGGGGAGGATGGAGTGATAATAAGGGATAGGGTGCTCGTCTTGCACACAGCAAACTGAGGTTCAATCCCCGGTACCCTGTGCAGTACCCTGAGCACTGCCAGGAGTGAACCCTGAGTACAGAGTAAGCCCTGAGCACTGCTGAGTGTTGTCCCCCGCAAAAAAAAGAATTGTACTACCTATAACAAGCTAGCAAGTACAAATTAGTTGCTCAATAAATAACTATTACAATATTGTTTCCACGGGAATTAATTTCTGAACAGTTGGTTTAAAATGACCTTTCAATAATTTCTTTGGAGATCCTTATAAACTGTCATTTATTTGGAGTTTCTTATAAATTGTCATCTTACAACATCTTTCAGAGTCCAGAAGAAAACTCTCCATTTAAAACTTACTGATAATCTTTCATATAGAAGCTGGTCACTGTGGGGAGTGGTAACAATCATATTCATTACACATTCATACTGTAACAGAAAGAGCTAAACATTAGGAAATTCTTTTTTTGGGGGGGGTCTTTTTGGGTCACACTTGGCAATGTTCAGGGGTTATTCCTGGCTCTGCACTCAGGAATTACTGCTGGTTGTGCTTGGGAGCCCATATGGGATGCTGGGAATCGAACCTGGGTTAGCTGCGTACAAGGTAAACACCCTACCCACTGTACTATCACTCTGGCCCCAATATTAGGAAATTCTAAAAACTGATGGGGGAAAAAATAAACCACACCACCAGACTTTTTCAAGTGTTTTTTTTGAAAAGCTAAAAGCAAGCATTATATTGTCTTGTAAAATACATTCATTTAGTCAATTTCTAGTACATATTCAACTATGAAAGTATCATCTAACATCACCATGATGAAGCAGCCTATCTCCTGTTCTGCACAAGATATAAATATCAGATAAAGCCAATCTGCAGTTTCCTGATGATAGTCTTATTTCCAAGTACAGGCAGAGGCATTCAGATTGTCTAAAAGAGTTCCAAGAAAAGTATTTTCCAATGCATGACTGGAAACAAAGATATGCTCATTTGAGTAGAGCACAAATAAAGAGATTTATAAGACCAATTCTTACTCCTGAATTTCAAAGCATAATCTTAGTAGAAATATTCTACTTAGTCGAAATACAAGCCTTAACTGAGGTAAAAATGCTGAGGGTTTCCCTGTTACCTTTTTCAATTGCTAAAACAATAGAAATACCTGGCACCTGATGGAGCTGTTATACCCCAAAAAAGTAATGTCTACCATGCTTATTTCCCTTCAATTCCTGACCATTTGGCAGTTCAGGATTAAGCAAAGCAAAGCAGTAAAGTGGGATGTTAGATCCCATGTCAGTAACAAAGAAACTGAGTGTCATTTCTGTGAGTTTCTGAATAGGCTACTGGAAACAATGTGACAGACAGGCTAATTCTTTATGAATAAGTATCCATATCACAATCAGGACTAGTACTCATTTGCACCTCAAGAAGAAACTGCCACCAGGCAAACAAAAACATTCAACTGATGCCTGTATTCTGAAAAAGCATTCTCAATATTGTAAAATTATAAATAAGCATCTGAAAACATAGTAAGAGATTTGCAGAGCGTATTTCAATTTCTATATTTTCTATCTGAAATTGAAGATACTGCACAGTTTGAGGAATAAAATGTGGTACAATTAAGAAATGTGTGAAGCCCTGTACAGATGGCCTGATCCCAACACAAAATGTTAACAAAGCAAGTTGGTGGGGGAGGGGGAAGCCTGAATTTTACATGGTATAATTTAGCTGACCCCACCCCTAAAATATTTTTCAAAAAGGTGTAGGGCGGATGAACGTAAGAATCAATAACTTCCAACAAACAAATAAATAAATCTCTTTTAGATTATGTGTTCTAAATGAATCTACTTACTGTTTTCAAATGTGTTTGGAAGTCATTCTTTGTTACTTTGATAAATAACATTTGGAAAATATGACAAGTGGATTTTAGTTTCTTGCCTCAGAAGTATTCTGCTAAAAGAAATAATAGAAATAACTAGGTAGCATTTTAGTTTGAGTTTACCTAATAAACATTTTTTACTTGAAACACATACAAAAAAAGTAGCACAAATACCTATCATTGCTTCACTGAAGAGAAAGTACTCTTAATTCGTAAACTATCATATTCAATGCAAAAATTACTGAATGATAGTCAAATTACCAAGGAAAGAAAAATTAACGGGAAAAGTACCCAACATATTTCATAAAACTTCTAAAAATGCCTTTATTGTATATAATAGAAAGTTCAGACTATTTCTAAATGCCTTCAGCATTTAATGATCTCCATACTGATCTATCACATTCTTCATTTTTTTCTTAAATCCTAGGTTTTTTTTAGAAAAGCACCTAAAATGTTCTAAGAAGCCTTATTTCCCTTTTTTGGAACCCAATTTTTCCTCATTCTTTCACAATCACCCCCAAGGTGCTGCGTAAAGACAAAGGCCAGCTACCCTTCCCACACCGTCTCCAAATCATGAACGTGGAACTTTTCCTAAAACAAAAAACAAACAAAAAAAAACAAAGAGGCAAACCTAGTACGCTGTAATAATATGCAAGGAAAAAATATATGAAAGTTCACTTCTGTAGTGACAATAAGAAGAAATCTGATGCGATCACACTACCGCGGAGCTTGCTTGCGGGGAGCTGGGGATGAAGTCATTAGCAACCCAGGATTCCCCGGGTCCCCTCGCAATCAGAGCCTGCACCTACCAGATCCTGCATTGTTCGCCGGAGGTGGCTTTGAAACACCCCGCTCCCGAACCGTCCCCAACCAGACCACGCCTTCCAGCCATCACTCAAAGGAACCGTTTCTCAGTGGGCCACTAGCACACGTTTCCCGCGAGCTCCCAGATGGAGCGAGAGTCAACATTTTAAATTCCCTCGGTCAGGCGAGAGCAAAAGATGAACTCTTGAACCTCGGCGCTCCACAATGAACCCGGGGCTGGAGAATGAAGCCGAGGCCGGAGAAGCAGGCACCGGTTCTGCAAACCTTTAACGGCCCTCGCAGCTTTCCCCCAACGCCCCCTACTCCCACCCCTACCCCACCCCCATCCTCATCTCTCCGGTGGCTCCTCCACTCTTCAGTCCACCTCCCCCCAAGACACAGAAGGCGAAGAGATTTCCTCACTTCCTATTGCTGGGGAAAGGGGAGGAAACCCCTGAATAACTTTGAACGCGTGGAGGAGAAACAGCTTCTGGCCCGGCCACTGCAAACATATGTCAGCCAGCCTCGGCGCTGCCTTCGCGCCCCCACCAGGCGCCCTCCCGGGCCGCGCGCCCCGGGACTTCTCCTGCAGCCCGGCCATCCCGGGTCTCCCTCCCACCCTCCCCCCAGTGCCAAGGGGACCCGGCTCGGCGCCTCTCCCTCTCCCGCTTCCCCTCCCCTGCGCCGCCGGGCCCCCAGCCTCCCACCCCAGACCACATTGTCGGCCACCGAGGTTCCTTACAATGGAATGTCACAGCCCCGGACTCCTTGCGGGGTGTGGGGTGGGGTGGGATGGGGGAGCCCACCACCTCCCCGCCCGGAGTCATTCCTGAGAGTCTCCGGGATCCGCCGAGTTCAGCAGCCACGAACCCAAACTTCACCATGTGAGAAGAGCCCGGGACCCGGGAGAAGGTGACGGGAAAAAGAGCCACGACTCTCCCGCCCGGCCCTGCCTGCCTGCCTGCAGCCGGGGCGTCTCTCTCGGGCGCCAGCCCCAAGCGCGAATCCTGCCCCGGGCGCCCCTCTCTCCCCCACGCCCCCGTGGGGAGTCCTCAGCCTCCTCTCCAGCCGGGACTGGGGGGGGGGGGTGGGGGCGAAGGCGTGGGAGGGGGGCCGAGTGGCGGGCTTCCCCCGCCCCGCCCGGACCCCGGGGCTGCGCCTGCAACGAGGGGCGAAGGCCCCAAATGCATCCCCGGCCTTGCCCGGCGCTGCACGACCCCGCCGCCCACCCTCGCTACCTGGGCTTGAGGCTGGGGTTGCTGCCGCTGCTGCCGTCGCCGCTGCCGCTGCCGCTGCCGCTGCTGCCGCCGCCGCCGCCGCCGCCGCCGCTGCCGCTGCTGCTGGCCGCGGCCGCGCGGGGTTCGTAGGCCCAGGCAGGGGCGGGGGGTGGCGCGGCGGCGCTGGCGGGGGCGACGGGGGGCGCGGGCGGCGGCGGCGGCTCGGCGAAGCCGGAGGTCGCGTAGTTCCTGTCCATCGTGGGGGTTGCTCAGGGGAGGGCGGGCTGCAGCGGGGGCTCCTCCAGGGCCCCGAGCGAGGGGGGCGGGAGGGGAGGGGAGGGGAGGGGAGGGAGGGGGCGGGGGGAGGAAGAGGAGGAGGAGGCGGCGACCGAGGGAGCTGCCCCCTCACATGGCCCCGGCGCGCGGGCTGGGCGGAGGGCGGGTCGGGCCAGTGCGTGGCGGGGGGCACTCGGGCCGCAGCGCCGCGCCGCGCCACGCGCGCGCGCGCGCGAGGGCCAGGCCGCAGCTGGGCGTAAAGGAAGCGGCGGCTCTCGCGGCCAGGACTCGCCGCGGAGGCGGCGGCTGCGGCGGCGGCTGTGGCGGCCGCTGCGCCCCATGTTGCTGGATTTCCCAGGATGCACCTCCCGCTCCCCCCCACCCCTACACCGCCACCTCCCTCCGCCCCGCCTCTCCTCCCAGCGCCCCGCGGCTGGCGGGCCTCGGGGAGAGGGACCGCGAGCCGCGGGGGTGCCCAGCCCGCGGCCGCCCCTCGGGGAGCTGTCCGGCCGCCGCGGGGGCCCCTCGCCGGGGAGGCGGTTGTGCAGCGGAAACCCAGCGTCCAGGGCTGCCCACGGGAAGGCATGTCAACGCCGAGCCTGGGGTGGGATATTTGACCCTGGGAGTTTTGTATGTATGTGTGTGTGTGTGTGCACAGTGTGCGTGTGCGTGTGTGTGTGCGCGCGCGCGCGCGCGCGACTCGAAAAGAACTCCGTTCCCCACACTTCGCGCCTTCTTTCCTTCGGCGCCTTGAGTCCCAAAGCAGAAACAGCTGAGCGGGCTGTTTCCCAGTTCCGCTGACTCCCCTTCCTGCCCCCTGAACTCGCTGGGCTCAGAGGACCCTTTTCCTGCTGTTAGGGGGAGATTTATATTCAAAGAGATTCCAATTCAGACGTATTTGTTTTCAGTCCGGGGTTGAAAGGATCTTTCCCCGGGGCGCTTATTAGCTGTCCCCACCCCCACGTTGGGGATTTTTTTTTTCTTGATTTTGCATTTTCGGAATCGTCTATCCCAAGATAAATACCGCCTCTTCATTGATTAATCCCGCCGCCATCTGGATGACTTTAATTAGAATAAATTTAAACTCACTCGGCACACTTGGTGCTGGAGTTTTTTGTTTGTTTGTTTGAGTATCGAAACTTCATTCGGCTGGACTTTCCCAAACATTACCGACCTGACCTCCAGGCTGTTGAAGGGTCCGGGCGTAATTTGATCTTTATTTGAGGATCTATTGTGTATCCGATTTGTGTGACTCGTGAATAGTGAAACTTGGAGTTCATAAAAAGTCATCGTTTGGTCCTTAGCGCATAAATTAAAAGTTGAAACTATGTGTTGTCCACTACTCTTAAGAAATCAATACTGTTTTCACACCTATTATGTTATCCCTCAAACCTAAAATAAAGGTTTAAGCAAATAGTAGATGGCCTAATAAATTTGATCAATACTTTCAAATTTTGGTAGTATCTGCTGTTGGATCTGCCGATCAGAGGTTATTTCAATTCTAAGAGATTGTTTTCCTCCAGGCGCCTACATCCTTTTGTTCCTATACATTCCTTTCTGAAAGCCTTTCGGCACCTGTGATGCTAGGAGTCTGGTCCGGGGGTGGAGAAGCGAGGAAGTGAGTAGCCGTTATTTACAAATGAATTCAAACTTGTAGACACAAGGGACATTGCCAATTTTATGTTAATTCCAGAAAACGTTTAACTGAGGACATCTTTGGAAAGTGGTTTTCCTTGGGAAAGGAATTTGCCTGATAATCTGAGATCCTGCAGGGAAGACACATAAATCTTTGTTACAGCATTTATTTTCTTACTGCAGCCTGGAGATCTGTAATCTAAATAAAACAAAAAGTTTTCACTCACGCGGTTGCATTTATAAGTACTTTTGTGAGCACTAATTTTTTTTCTTCTATGGTAAGTGTAGGCCATGAACTGGTGTGCTATAAATGTTTTATGGCACTTAGTTTAAGATACCCACAACTGGTACTCAGTGAGAGTTATGCAGGCAATACCAAACAAGCAGCAATAAAACCTTTATAGTCTCTCACACCATTATGTAGTTTGCTTATGCCACATAAGTCAGAAAAAAAATATTAAGGAGAAATTTTAGCAAGTATTTTTTTAAATATTATTACTCAATATGTCATGCTCCTTTGACTGTTATATGAAATTTCCTTAGTTTACCCTGTTATGTAAGTATATTTTCAGTGTTGCAACATATCTGCAGATAACATCAATAAATCTTTTTTAGTAAAATTGATATTATTTGGAAAATGTCTTTCTCTACTGGAAATATATTACTGTCCCTAAACTTATCATGACGTCTTTCAAGTAATAGCCAACAAACTCCTAAATCTGATCTAGACAGTGTTCAAAATTTACAGTGGGGCCTGGAGCGATAGCACAAGGGGTAGGGCGTTTGCCTTGCACACAGCCGACTCTGGTTCGAATCCCAGCATCCCATGTGGTCCCCCGAGCACAGCCAGGAGGAATTCCTGAGTGCAGAGCCAGGAGTAACCCCTGTGCATCACCAGATGTGACCCAAAAAGGAAAAAAAAATTTACAGTGGACTTTGTAGTTCTTATCTTAAATAATAATATAAGTTTTATTTTTTTGCTGTAGAAATCCTCATCTTTGAAGATTCAGCTCAGACATGACATTTCCCCCTATCAATTGCTTTTTTCCTCGCCAGGGCCCCTTGGAGGGGGGCGGGTTGAGTTCCCTCCCCGCCCCAAGCAGAGCCCCAGCAGCAGAAGACCTCCAGAACCAGCCACAACCATGCTGAGACCACTCTCCACACGCATGAAGGTACCGGCAGAGGAACAAAGGCACGCGGGTCCCAGGGCTGGGATGGCCAAGGCTGCTCAGATCGGAGCTGAATATCCTCCACCCAGATCCTCCATCTTCCAGTAGGCGGGGATCACACCCACCAACACCCCCCCCACACACACACACAATAAAACCCAGCTCCTGGAAGCACGCGGCTGCATTTGCAGCCACACAACACCTTATTATCTCGTTCTTGCTTTGACAACCTGGCAGGCTACCGAGTGTAGCCTGCCCACACGGCAGAGTCTGGCAAACTCCCCGTGGCATACCCAATATGCCAAATACCAGTAACAGTGATGGGTCTCATTCTCCTAACCCTGAAAGAGCCTTGAATGTGGTACTTTTTAGATTCTCAGGGCTAGGACGAAGGAGACGTTACTGGTGCCTTCTGGAGGCAATCGACGAACAACAGGATGATCGTGATCGTGATCAATTGCTTTTTTCTTAATTGCCCTTTGGTACTCATTACATTTATAATATTTAACACTATCATATTGCATTACAATTAATTGCATATCTTTTCTCTTTCTCCCACAGATCATAAGTTTCTCCCCCCACCCCACCCCCAGCTTTTTTTCTTTTCTTGGTTTTTGTGCCTGTCCAGTGGTGCTCAGGGCTTACTCCTTTTGTTTGTTTTTTTTTGGGGCCACACCCAGCGATGCTCAGAGTTTACTCCTGATGTGTGCTCAAAGGTCAACCATGGTGCACTCCAGGGATCATATGGGGTGCCAGGGATCAAAGACATGCAAGGCAAGCATCAGGGCTTACTCCCTATTCTGCATTCAGGGATGAGTTTTCAGGCAGTGGACTATATGTGGTGCCTGGGATCCAACAGGGTTAGCTGCATACAAGGCATGCATCCCTCCCACTGTATTATTGCTCTGGTCCCAATCATGAGTTTCTTAAAAGCAGAAATTGTATTTAATCATCCTTGAATTTCCAACACTTAGTTCTATACTTGGCATCATATTAGATGGCAAACATGTATGTTTACAGTATGAATAAATACATATACTACTTTTTAATACCCATTCTAGAGACTGGAAATGTGACTCAGTGGTAAAGTGTATGCCTTGCGTGCATGAAAGCTCGGTTCAATCCCTAGCTCAGTAACAACAAACAACAAAATAGCCATCCTGAAATTACACATTGGGGAGGCCAGAGAGAGAAAGTACAAATGTTAATGGCCCTTGCCTTACATGCAGTTGACCCTGATTCAATCCCCTGTACCACATGTGATCCCCTGAGTACTGCCAATAATGATACCTGAACACAGAGCCAAGAGTTCCTCCTGAGTATTTCTAGGTGTGGCACTAAAAGAGTATAAAATGTCACATGATCATTTACACTTTCCCTTCTTTGAGGGGGCAGGGGAAGCGAAAACCCAGTGGTATACTCAGGGCTTACTCCTAGCTCTGTGCTCAGAGGTCAATCTCCAGAGGTGCTCAGGGATCAAACCAGAGTGGACCTCATACAAGGTAAGTGCTTTAACCTCTATACAATCTCTCTACCCTACTCATCCCCTTTGATGCACACAACCACCATTTCTCTCAATTCTAACATGGGCTGAAGATTTATTAAATCAGTGTAATTTTGCTACAAGATGAATTGATGTCCTACACTCAAGGCCTCTTTCTTCTTCCGATCCCTGTCTTAGTTCCTTCCAAGTTTATTGTCTATGCTTTAGTAAGTGTTGCTTTAAACTGTATCTTTTTGGGAGAGAGGTGATTCTACTTTTTTTAGTCCACAGTCAGTGGTGCTTGAAGAACCTTCTGCATGGCCCAGGAATTGAAACTAGCCACATGCAAAGAGCCTTACTCCCTGTACTCTCTATGCTCTAGATTATGTCATCAAATACTCCTTCATGTTTTCCACATTTCCCAAATTTTCTCCCATCCTATTAGAAAATCACTGGGTATTTCAGCTAGTGGATTTGGAGTTAGACTGAGCAGTTCTTATTCTCATTTTGTAGTTGAGGAAACTGACTGTTAGAGGGGAAACACCCAGCAGTGTTCAGGACTTACTCCTAGTTCTGCATTCAGGGATTACTCCCGGCAGGCTCAGGGAACCATGTGGGGTGCCAAGAATCAAACCCAGGTCAGTAATATGCAAGACAAGCACCTACCTGTTGTTCTATCTTCAA